TGAAAAGTTATTCCACTTTCTCGAGTTCCATTCGCTAAGATATATTTATAATTTATGATAAATTTTCTTGTGTTTCAGTGATGATGATAATGATTATGATAATGATAATGATGATAATGATGATGATGATGATGATAATTATTATCATCATTATTATGAAAAAGTGTTCGATGTATGAACGAGGAAGTTACGTGCCACGTTTAATGTTGGAAAAATTATTAGAAGAGGAAGGAACGTAAAAGAAATGAAGCATAATTATACGGTGTGTTATGATAATGATGGAAAAAAAGATACACTCACCCACGCATAATTCTACACCACACGACATCACACAAATGAACGCGCGGACGAATAGACAGATAGATAACAGAGAGACAAACAAACCAACAAACACAAACACAAGAATTCAAGATTTAATCGTATCGCTTTAAAATAAGGTTCGTGCGCGTGTATAGAATGAAAATTAAGGATAGTTAATAATTATAAAAAAAAGGAGCGATTTTTGGAATACCCTCAAAAGCGCGTCATCCGTGTAAACATATGAAATTTTTTTGTATCGTTAATTAAACGTTTATATTTTGTACCGATAATGAATAATATTGTAAATTTTGTTTAAATTTTGTTGATACTACGTGTATATTGTCACTCGGGGGTCATTCGTTTCCAATATTATGTTTTTTTTTTCTTTTGCTTCTCGGATCATAAAAAAAAAAAATTGATTCGATGAAAGGATGATCGAAAGGGAGACCGACAAGATGTGAATTTCTTTTGTTATTTTCCTTTTCCATTTAGTCTATTTGGTTATTTGTTTAAATTTAAATTATTATTATTATTATTATTATTATTATTATTATTATTATTATTCTTTTTTTTTCTCAAGCAACGCCGTGCGTTGTTGGTCAGGAAAAAACAAAACCAATGGCTCCCCTTTCGTTCGAACGAATCTTTTATTCCTATACGTATATACAACAAAAGCGCGACTTAGATTATTGTTAAGATAAAGTGCTTTTCTATGATTGAATCGCGTTAATGCTTTATATATATTGCATATGTTTAAGAATTAAAGAATGAACGATTTTAATGGTTTTGTCGTTAAAAGAAAAAGAAAAAAAAAAGAAAGAGAGAGAGATCATACGTCGTTGAATGCACCAACGTAATTAGTTTATTAATACTTCTTTGTGGATTTAAAGAAAATAATAATTATCCGCATGGTATGCATGTACGTAGGACGATTCATACAAACAATGTTTCTAAATGAATCACCGAAAAATAATTCGAGTAGGCGGATAATGGACATTAATTATAGTTATACCTATGTAGAAAATAACGATCGTGTGTTGCGCATATGCCGAGTCTTGCGTAACACGTTGTTAATTATTTTTAATAATCAATTGTGTATTAATAAGAGTAATTTATCGATTTTTGTATTGATTGCGTTTGCGATGATTTACTTTTTAAAAAGGGAAGGAAAAAAACAATAACAACAACAACAAGATAAAAGCAAACAAAATCCTTGAGCAACAATTTTCTCCTGCACTTTCTCTTATATCGAAGAAATATATATTATTGATTAAAAAAAAAAAAAAAAAAAAAAAAAAAAAACAAACAAAATAAAATCAAGAAAGAATAATGGAGAAAGAAAAAAAGAATGAAAAAAAATTGTAAAGTGTATTACTCAAGATCGGCGTATACGAGTTGATTAATTAAATTAATGGCTAATAGGGGGTAAAGGGGTGAACGATAACTGCCAATTATCGTGAGAATTACTAAATCTCCGTTCGTATTTAATTATTTTATTGACTGCCATGCTATTTCGTCCTTTTCACACAGCTATTTTAAAAGAGAAAAGAAAAAAAATGGAGGAGGGGTAGGAGAAAAAAAGATATTATCTAATGTATGTTAATTCCCCGATGGTAATCACTTGCATTTAAGTCGTTAAACAAAACAAAAACAAAAAAAAAAAAAGAAAAGAAAGAAAGGAAACAGGAATAGAAAAAGAAAAAAAAAAAGGAAGAAAAAAAGTATAATGACCGAGTTAACCACACTCGCATGAATTTATCGTTCGCTAATTTGCGTTCTTTCGCGACTATATAATCGCTTTTATAAGCCACGCGATCGAAAAGTACACTAATTGTGGAGAACTAGAGTGTGCCATAAAATATAATGGCCGAGTAACGTGAAAAATGAGAAACCTGACTAAAAGCACATTAGGTATTTTCAAAAATCGAGAAAGAAACATCATACTACTTGACATTATCGTATTTTTACCGATCAAAGATTCTCAATGTCGGTAAACAGGAAAAGAGCGGATTAGTATCTCGACGTATAAAATGAACTATATGTTTTACAGTAAAAACGTGTTCAATTTTTAAAGACAAATATATATATATATACAAATATTAATATATTTAATATATTAATATTTATTATATATTATGTGTTTGATTGATCTTGAAATATTAATATACAA